GTCTCCTGAGGCCTGTCTCCTTGGCTCACAGATGGCTCCTTCTCCTTCTCCGTGTGTCCTCACACGGCCTTTCTCTGTGCATGTGCATCCCCGGCCTCGCTCTTGTGTCGTAATCACCTCTTCTTGTAAGGACACCAGTCAGACAGGATTAGAGCCCACTCTAAGGGCCTCGTTTTAATTTAATCACCTCTTTAAAGGCCTTATCTCTACATACAGTCACACTTTGATATTAAGACTTCAGTATATGAGTTGGGGGGGGAGGTGGGATAGCAATTCAGTACATAAAAGGTGGCTTTTGTTTTCTTAAAAGTATAAGGAAAAGAGTGGGTGTGGGAGGAGGAGAGGGATGAAACAATGATTGTATTAGGGCCCCTTGAAGTAGGAGATAATTTGTTTATATCCATCCAGCCCAGTTATTTGAGTTTCTGCAGTAATATTCAGGAATATTGTTAGAGTAAAGAACGAGAGCTCTGTGCTGCCGTGAGTTGGCTTGGTGCTCACACGACCTTACTAACGAGTCAAATGACATCTCTCCTGTGCAAAGTTGAAATGTAAATGAGTTTTATCTGCAGCCTCAGCACAATTACAAATTACTGTATGTCAGGGACCCTTCTGGCTGTTCTCAAATAGTTGAGAGCCTGACATCAAATAAATCTATGACTGCTAAGATTTTGTTGCATTCACCAATGCAAAAATTAGCTGGAACATATTTCCAAGCAGTTCTATAAAATTGTCTTTCATGATTATGCACCACTATCTTTGTTCTTCTTTCTCCCCCACCCCTTTTTTTCTTCTTTTTTTCCCCCATCTTCACTCGTCAATTATTTATTGAGTACCTAACTAGATGTCTGACACTAGGAATAAAAAGAATCAACAATCTAGTGTGGGAGACAGATATGTATATATGCAACCCCCACAGGTGACGTGTTATTATTAAAGTAATTATTCATTTGTTCATTTATCCCACAAATATATCGAGTGCCTACCAAGTGCCAGGCACTGTGTTGGGCTTGGGATAGACACATGAGTAAGATATAGTTTCTGCTTTCAAGAAATTTACAACCTGGTATAGAAGAATAAACAGGTAAGTAAACAAAGACAATACTATGTGACGTTTGTAAAATATTAAAAGATCTCAAAGAATGGTGTGACTCTTGTCTCTGCTTTCCCTTGTATGTTTGGATACCCGTTGAAAGGAGCCATTACTGCATTTTAACGAAAGGAACTAAAAAAAGATTTCATTCATTTCACAAACATTTCTGAACGCTTGCTCTTGTTTTGTGATAATATTGTAGCTCTTGAATTATGAGCAAGCATCGAGTTGGGGGAATCTATGACTTTCCTCCTCATTTGAGCTTATTGTCCACAACCTGCACTATCAACCCCTTGTTTAGGTGGTAGAATGATTAACAGTTTTCCTGAAATACTCAACTGAACCCTGCTGAATATTAACGCTTGAGAAAAGTCACAGTTACAAAGCATTACTGTGATGCTGGGTGAGCAGACAGCATATGCTGGCCTACCACAAATCTCAAATGTTTGGGACTTAGAGCTATGTATTAATGTGGGGGGTTCCCTGTATTGTGATTGAGAAAAAGATGATGAATAGCCGAGACGAAAACAGATTTTTGTAGATTATGTAATTGAAACATTTTCAAGTATCACTTATTTTTACCTGATCTCAGGGAGCAAGTTATGTACAAGCAAACCCTTATAGGTTAATTGAGACAATGGATATAAACTTGTTGCTTTCTTTAGAGGTGATATGCTAACACACATTCAAGGTATTATTCTCTGCAATCTAAACTTTTTTTGTGTGGGAAAATGCTAACCATAATCCGGAAATGTGTAGGTAGTAAGAGAAAGAAGGGAAATCTGATAAATGGTATACGTGGGATTTAGAATCAATGAATAATTTAATAACAGCTGAAAATTGCTTTGATGTCATGCAGTGAGCACCCACTATCTTCATATTGATTCCATTTCAGAATCTTACTCTAGAGCATGTCCTGGCAGAAGGAGCACTGGACGAGAGTCAGGGTTTAGAAGTTCTAGTCTAGATCTGCCCTTGATGACCTTATGTGGCTCATTGCCCTCATCTTTAAAATAAAATGGGTCCGGAAAAAGGTCTCCAAGGCCCTTCCAGTTCTGATATCTCATCATTCTGCGATTCTGTGTCCCACGCCTAGCAAACGCATTTTGACATTCTTTAAGTTGCTTAAGCCAGGATTTCAGTTAGAATGCCTCCAGGAGCCTATTTCCATGGGCTGTTGGGAACAGCACGGCCTTGCTTCTCCAGGACTTGATATGTCTTCTGTTAACTGCTGACAGTGAGCCATTCCACCTAAAAGGCTCCCTTGGGAGCCTTAAAGATTGAAAGGACAAATGGACAGTGTTGAGAGCTCTGTGGAAGAGGAGACCTGAGAGACGTTGATCATCATGGCCCCTTGGGATTTGCAAAGAGGAATGACTAGAACTGGGCCTTTCACTGCTGCCAGGTCAAAGGTCAGGTCAGGAATGTGGACAATGCTGGTGACTCCAGGTAGGTCTAGGAGGGTAAATAAGCCTGTTTAGTCCCTCCTGAATCTTGAGAAGATCTGGGCAGCCAAGCTCAAAAAGCTTAGGAAGTCTCCTAATTTCTGAAATTTCTTGGAAAAGAAATGTGACGTTCATTTGAAAAATATTTTTATTACCACCCAATCATTGTATTCTTATCGGATACTCACTAAGTTAATCTATTCTTAATATTCTCACAGTTCAAACGTTCGTTAAACATGCTTTTATGATCACTTACTGAGTTAAAAATCTGGTTTTGACTGATGCTACTGGGCAACGGACTCCCTATATTTTAGGATTTTTAGAGTGTTGTTGAAAGACCTGCGAGCTTTCTCTTTCAATTTTAGTTAAGCAATATTATATATAATTCTCTGGCGGCAGAGATTTATATCTATTATTATTTTGCTGATAATAAGCCAACTTGGTGGTGATTATAAAATGATTCGGAGTACTGCCTTTCTTAGTGATTAAAAAAAAGCAATGGATAATTTGTGAATAGGATATAAAACCAGATAACTAAAAATAATTTTTGTGCTGAATACAAGTATAAGGAATTAAAGGTCTTCTGTAATTGTTTCTATCATAAAATCCCGGTAAAAATTTACGTAGTTTTCTTAAAATACTGATTAAATTCCTGTATCTGATCATTAAAAAAAAACAAAACTGCATACTTAATACATATTACAAGATGATTCTTCTTTTTTTGTTTTGCTTCTATCTAGTTGCTTCCAAGATCCGGTACTTACAGGAATATCATAACCGGGTTCTCCACAACATTTACCCTGTACCTTCAGGAACAGATATTGCAAACACCCTGAAATACTTTTCTCAGACCTTGTTAAGGTAAGCTTTAAAATATCCTCTGCTTTGAAAGAATTATTAGGTAGTACTGCTGAACTGATTGGGACCTAAATTTTGATGGAACCGAGTTTTGAAGGCCTTCTGTTTGCTAGTGCTCTGCCAGAAGAGTCTAGACTCAAGTTCTCTGGGTGTAACTAGCAGATCGGATCAAGGCCTAAGTGGAAAAAAACATGGGTCGCATGGCTCCTGCCTGTCTTCCTCAGTTGGACATTTTTTCAAGAGATTTATACAGTGATAACAGTTATATGTCTGGCAGGAACATAGAGGGGGATGAAAAGAAGCTACAGTGCTAAAATTAAGCACAGGAAGCACTTATGGTCTTAAAGAAAATCAGAATTATGTAGCATATAGGTTCTTCAGTAGTATTTCCTACTTCTTGAAGTATACTATATGGTAACAACAATTATTTTTAATTCGTGTAACACTGCAAGTGTTCAACATACTTTACAATTGATGGGGAAATTGTATGGAGGACCAGGAAACAAAAACAAATACTGTCTGCTTTTACTATACGGCAGAGACAGGAGGGACCTTTGCTTCACAGTTCTCATTAGGAAAAACAAGCAGACAAAGGTGAGCCTTTCAAGACAAGACTCAATTGTCTGGGAAAGAACATCGAAGAAGTGAGAGGCACACTTTCCTTTCCGTTAAATCCTAGGGCTTCGTTTCTTCCATCACGGTGGTCGGTCTTCTTGCTCCAAATCTGATTTTGGAAACACATGAATTGACTTGCTCCTATTTCTTTGGTATAAAACAGCAAAAGTTTTGTAAGACAGGCACTGGAGTACCTAGTGGCCTGAGGCTGCGCCATGGGTAGGCTGCACGCTTTATAGAAAGAAACTTCATGTGGTCAAGTTTTCTGCAGTCTTGCTGTCTCTTGTTCTTCTCATTCTTTGGAATAGCTTTTCTTCTTTAGAACCGTGTTCTGATCCCCTTCTTTAGCGTCCTTGTTCTGTATTAAAGGAATCCAGAGTCATAGATTTTATACTTATATAGTAAGTTTAGAACCTCATTATAGGCTATTTCCTTTCTTTTCAAATTGCAGTGGAATAATGAGCTCAGTTTTCATGGTAATAACCAGGTAAATTTATTCACTGAGGCATCTGATTCTGTTCTCTTGAATTTTCTTTTTGTCTTTGAGGTCAGGGATCTCAATGGGAAACATTTCCCTTTATCACAAATTCTGAAAGTTATCAAAAGGCGCTTTTCAGTAGGAAGCAAATTCTGGATTCCATTTGCAAAGAAACTGTGACATCCTAGTTGGCACTTTGAAACTTACTGCTTAGGTCTTAGTCATTGTGCCAAAAAGTTAAGAAATTTTGGTTACTGTAGTCGTGTTTGTAAGATGTGAAGTTTCCATTTTCTTGAGCAATGGGTCATTAGAATCTGATCATGGGTGATAGAATTTTAATGTTGATACGTGTTCAGGTAGTTTGTTCAGGTAGCTGTTGGAGAAGATTCTATGGAACTGAGCTCAGTCCATTTTAAAAGGGAGAAATCAACAGCTACTACTTATAATGGTAAAGCTAACAAAAGCTATCATTATCATAGTAATATTGTATAATAATAATAGTAATTATACGTGTCAAGCACTGTTCTAAGCACTTTCCATGTTCCATCTCATTTAACCTCTTATAATAATTCTATGAAATAAGTGTGCTATTTTATCCATTTTACAAATAATGAAGCTAAAATATAGAATGGTTAAATAAATTGCTTGGAGGTACATATGTGTTGGAACAAGGATTTGACCTTGTGTTCCTAATCCACAGCACACGCTCTCAACAATTATGCTATACTGCTTCTCTTTAGTACTACTAGTTATCATAGTATAGGGACATTTCTATTTTCAACAACTTGGTTTGGCCTTTGAGAATGCTGGCATCTGTTACGAGTCCATGGAGGACTTTTGGCTCTCTTTGAGATTAAGGCAAAAAAGGAAGTGCTTAGTGCAAAGTCTTACCATCTTTCGGGAGGTTAAGTTGAGCTGTACTTGAGGTAATGTGGACAGGTGTTTTAGCTCTATCTCTCACTCAGCAGTTCATTGTGGATAGCAGGTCAGAGCAGAGTTGACAGTGTACAGACATATACACACAACGTGGGAGGAAGGAAAAAGCACTGAGGAATATAACATGTCACAGGCTGGGCTTTAATACTTACAGATTCAACTCTGGGACTAACTCTAGTACATTTTCTTTCTTGTTTTTGCCTACCTCAGTTTAAAAAAAAACAAAACTCTTCATCTCTTTTGTTTACTGGAAATACAGAATTTACAACTATTGTCCTATATATTGGACTAAGTTATGATCACTTTCACTGTTGGTATATACATCCATAGCAGTCATAGTTATAAATTGAAGTTATATTTCTTCAATTTATTTATGCAGTTAGAAAGCTCAAGACAAATAAGATGGTCTAGGTGTTTGATGTCGAATATTATTGACAGTAACATTTTCTACTCACAAATGAGATGGTTTCCTTTACATTTCATATAATTTTTGCATTCAGAAGCACTTCTTGCTTTCAAAATTAAGATTCTTGGAAGGAAACAAGGATTAGAGATGAATTCTCACAAAGTAACCACCTCTGTCCTTCTATTTGGGTATTCTCAAAGAAGTTAAAATTGTTCTTATTTTGGTTAAAATATGCAACTTGAAGTTCCAGCAGCTTCATTTGAGTCAAAATTGCATTTTTAGAGTAATAGTCCTCTGGTATTCATACGTGCACATAACTTTACTGACTTCAGTAGAGTTTGTACATATTTACAAAGGCAGAGATTAGCCAAGCTGTTTAACTTCAATTAATTTAGCCCACAGGAGAGGAAAGATTACCTGTTAGCATAATTGACTATATCAGCAATTGAATGGTCCACATATGTCCACGTAATAATTAGACTCATGTTAGAGTTCATGGAGTTTCCCTAAACTCTAGGTTAGTGGAAGGTGAGGCCTATGTGTTAGCCCTTGAGCCTAGAGCAGTGTTTGATCCTTAGAAGATGATCAGTAAATATTTGTTGAATTGAATTGACTTTAGTTCAAATTTCATCCATTACAAGAACCCTTCTAGAGGATTTAATTCATCTAGCAGTGACCTGGGGACTTGGGTACAATTTCATGTGTGTGCTGAATTGTACTCATTTTAATTTAGAGGCCTAAGTGTAGGAAGACACACAGTTTACACACAGCTTCAAGGTGTAGTTTTTTTGTTTGCTTTTAGTATTAGAAGCACCTATGAAGATCATCTAGTTTAACTCCCCCTCATTGCTACAGAGGTGTCTGCCCATTTTATGTTAGAAGCATTCTGCGACCATGTTTTAAGCATCTAAAGTCTTCTTTAAGGATCTTGCCTTTTACCTGACAGAACATGTAAAGGTTCCCGGTCTTCTTATGTCAAATATTCTTTTCAAATTCCTTTTCCCAGATCTCTCTTGTGGTGCCATTCAAGATGCTAGCACATAGCGTCTTTTACAAAAGCATTAGATTTGGGGAAGGCTACTTGCTGCTAACTCTTTAAAAAAAGTTTAACATGTTTTAGAAAGGGATTCTAGCCTAAGCTCAATAATTTTAATTGAATTGTAATTTCTAATTACTTGGGAAGAATATATAGACCTTCAAATTGTTGACTTGAAGTCCACAGAGTAGCTTTAGAGCGTAGCATGATCAAGTAAATTTTGTTTAGTGCATAAATTCAATTCACATGTCAAAATTCATAATCTTCTAGAAAGCTTATTTTATGTATTGATTTTCTGTGCTGTAAATACCTCGGGGCCACTTCTCACCTTTCCCCACACCCACAGAGGTCTTCTTCTCTTGACTTCTCTTGATGTTGGAAATCAATGCTTAATAAAGAGGATCTCAGGAGGGAAAAGGAATGGTGAAAAGTTGGCTGCTGGGTCAAACTCTTCTGAGCAGGGCGTTCTAAGTATTCTTTTGGTTGGGTGTACAGACCTCTGGGAAAGAATTTCAAATGGGGAAGATGGTTTTATCATTCCCAAGTTAGACAGTTTGGTTGGGGAAATAAGGTTTTTTTTCCTGAGTAAACTTCACATAACTTCATAAAATCACAATGCATTGTACATTTATTCATGAGCCCTTCTTAAGTTTTTCCACAAATGAAAACATTTCCTTACATTGAAACATGAATGGTAATTTACAGTTGGTTTCATGGATACCTCATCTTCAGCCATTTTTTCTCAACCTCACCTCCGTATTAAATCTAAAAACAGAAAGAAGTTTTACTGTTTCAATGCTGACATTCTTCCCTCCCTGCATGTATGAAGTTGTTGCTATCATTTGGGAACCCCACATACACAGGAAGGGAAAAATATCAAAGTAGAGTTTCCAAAGTGGATTTGACTAGTGTTTGTTAAATTATATCAAACTTTGGAAAAATACTCATTAATGTATGTTTGAAAAAAAGAATGTGCTCTATTTCCCCCACCAAGGAAAATTTGATGAGGGCACTGTACTTAATTTAAAGCACAGCATCAATATATGCTATATAGCTTCTTTTTTCCTCTATGGCAAATGTTTTTTTATACTACTCCTATGAGGTCCACATCTTGTAATTTTGAAAAGATGCTGGTAGTAGGCTAATTTAGGGCTGAAGTTTGGGAAATGATATTTCTGACATATCCATTGTGATTCTAAAGGCATTTTCAGTGGGATAGAATCCTACAGGATTAAAACAGATTTTTGGTGACTGGGTTTATCAAGAATATAACATTTAAAGGTGGTACTTTTAGGTAATTGAATTATATGAGGAAAGTATAAAGTCTGATGAAAGATCTGTTGGTATTTATAATAGATGTAGGCAGGCAGGGGTAACTGGAATGTTGATATTATCCCATTGTAAAGTATAAGCTTACAAAGTTAAATACATCACACACAAAAAAGGTAAATTAAATCCCTTTAAAAGTTAAAAACATTACACTAAATCTTAAGTTATTTATTGCTGAGAAGTATTACGTAACTATTCTGAAATTATTTTTACTATTAATTGTTTTCCCCTGGACATTGGGTAACAGAAGACAAAGGAAATTGAGGTAAATTAGGCACATGGAAAATAAAAAGCATGTAGCCATTCTTCTTACATTGTAACATATTTTGCACTAAGAGTAAATAAAAACAAATGTAAACTTGAAATAGCAAGCATGCCTGACACTAACCAGTTCTTCACACCACTGTTAAATTGTAAATGTAATCATTAACTAAGAATTTAGTAATGTTTGATACACATAGAATAAGTGTAAAACAAGGTTATTTTCATGTAATGAAACATTTATAAATTGTTACCTATTTAGATTAACATATAAGTGTTCTATATAAAAGCACGTTGTAAGTGCAGCAGATATTATCATTATAATGTATACCTGTTGTTTTTAATGATAAATAGTATAACCTAATTTTAAAAACCTAAACATTTGGCTAAGCAGTTGATTTCTTCTATTTTTAAAATTAACGACTTTTCTGCTTTATCGCTTTTACTAAAAGGTTTTTATTTAAAAATGAAGGCTAAAAGAAAGCCAGTTTATTTTTAGAATTTATTTTTATTCCCATTAAACTTTTTTAACTTTCTAAATTATCTTTCCTCTAGTTTTTAGTGAGTTTTGTTGAATAACGTAAGTAGCAGCAGTAATATATAAGATCTTATTGTATGATATGCAGCTACATGACAGGTACTACTTGCTTAGTCTTTAGAATTTTGAAGGTAATTATTTAATAAACCACTGTTTGTATTCATAAAATAAAATGTTTCCTCCCCAACATGCAAAATTAAAAAAACACACATAAATAACCATTATCATTAGTTCACAAACATACGCTACGGACCATCTAATATATATTATTTTACAGCTTTTCCAATGTAGTTTAGCTAACATTTTAGAAATATGTATTATTTCTAAATTCATATGCCTGTTTAAACTTCATTATCTCAAATGATACTGACAGAATGTCATGAAACAGTATCATAATATACATATAGACATTATTTTGATGCAATAAACATGTGATTTTTAAGACTTTCTTAATAAACACACATGTTTATTCTTTGCTAAAACATGTTTCTGCAAGTGCCATACCTATATTTTGCAAGTTTTTATTACCTTGATTAAGAGAGTCTTGCTGAAAATTTCCTGTGCTTTAAAAGCTCTTTCTAATTAAGAATAAAAGCCCTAACTCATTAGACAAATCTGTTGTTTTTCCTTCCAGGAAACCTCTTCATCACCAAATTGATAAATTGTAAAACATGGGTTTGGCACTGAAACATGCATTTTTATATTTTTGCTCCTTACTAACCAGATAACACATGAGATGCAATGCAACTTCCACAAAATAAACCTTGCGTTATTGGTATCTGAGCACAGAAGCTCTGTGACCTTGACCCGGACTAGAATTGTAGATGGTGCTGGTATGGCAATTGCATCTTATGTGGGATGTATCTGGTGTTTTATTATTTGTTTTAGAGTGTCATTTCAATGTAATGTGCTGTTCTTTGTGTCTTTGTTGTCTCTTTTTTTTCTTTGTCCCCCCAACAGCATTTTGTCCCGCACAGGGAAGAAGGAAAACCAAGATGCCTCCAATTTGACAGTGCCCATGACCATGTGTCTTTTTCCTGTGCCATTCCCACTCACCCCATCTCTAAGACCGCAGGTCAGTTCCATGAACCCTACTGTTACTCGCTCCCTCCTTTACAGCGTCCTGCGAGATGCCCCCTCTGAACGCGGCCTGCAAAGTCGTGATGCTCACTTGTCAGACTACCCTTCTTTGGACTATCAAGGCCTCTACGTGACTTTGGTGACTCTCCTGGATCTAGTTCCTTTACTACAGCATGGCCAACACGGTGAGCATTTAATCACAAACTTTGAAAATGTACCTACATGTATGTTGATGGATGCTGGAGACTGTTGTTGTTATTGGAATAAATTGCTTGGAAGGTCTTTGTGTGGCTAAAGCCTTTCTTACACTGAAACTTAATTGTGGTGTTTTCTATCCTAAAATTTTTTGCTGTTTTATGGCCAGAGGGATGTTGGCCAAATGGGCTTGCATGGAGGGGAATGCGCTGGGGAAAGGAGGAACCTGTAACAGGAATTCCCTCTTCTCCTCAGATTGGCTTATCACGGAGACTCTTGTTGCAATGATTTGTGAGCTAAGACTTAAACATTTGCCCCCCCAGAAAATATATGAAGTAGAGCTTGAAGAGGTCAAATGCACTGACTAATTCTGTGATTTTTGGGGGGCAAATTACAGAATCTCTTGGGGACTTACTTTTCCTGTCTTTAAACCCAGAAAGTTAAATAAGAAGAAATCTAAAAAAAAAAAAAGAAATCTCTAAGATCTCTTCCAAATTTTATTAACAATCAATAGTTAATTGCAAACTGTTGGCCGAGTGGTACAGTGTCTCGTGGCACTACACGCTGTATATGGTGTATAATGTACCGTATTAGTGGACTTCAGGACAGAAGCCTGAGAAAACGCTTCTTAACTCTTATGCTTTCTGCTGTGTGTCTTTAGTCAATTTCATTATTTTGCTTGCTCAGCACATTCTTCTAATTCATAAGAAGGAGTACAATAATATCTACTGTTTAACTATTCCGTATTATATTTGGGTGAATCAAATGGAAAACCATACAGTAAGAAAAGGGATTTTTGCAGAAAATGACCTTTAAAACATCAGTTGTCTTCATGTTAAAGCACTGATAATTTGGTTTCTGGAACTATGATAACCAAAGTTTCACTGTCCAGAAATATTGGAATTTGGGAAATGGGTGTGTGGTGGGGGCTATTTTGCCTTTGCGTTATGGTTAACTCTCCTAAGAGAATGCTTAATGGTTTATTTAGTAAGATGTGTTCCAAACTTAATTAAAAAAATCTACTTCCATACAAATGATGAAATAATAATTATTGAATTTGTTTTGTCTTATATTTATAAGTCTGTATTACAATGAATATAAAAAAATGTAAACATTTGTAAATTTGCTTATCGTATAATTTTGTAGCCATTGTAAGCCTAGTCACTTGTATTGTGATGCTACCCCAGCTCAGAACTGAAAGGAGATCACTCTTTGAACATCAGACTGTCAGAGCTTACCTTGTAGTGAGCTGGTCAGTGCTTTTCCTTTGTGATCCCCAGTCCTGAGGTCATTGTGGACCTGCCTGGTCCTGAGAGGGGCCACTGTGTTAGGGCAGCTGTCCTTTATCTTCAAAGCCCCTTGATTAAGATCAAAGCAATCAGCTTGGTAACTCACAACCCGTTTAATTGCAATTAATGTGTAAATTACAACCATTTCAGGGGCATGCGTTGTGTTTTTGCTTTCGTACCCACAGCTATTGTGTGACTTTCCTCTTCACTGTTGTATGTATACTGTGCTCTTGTGTTGCATAATAGAGCTTGGAAGATAGTGAGCAACTTACCAGACGGTCCCTTAGAGGTTCAAAACCGTGGAGCATTGTTTCCCTAAGTGACCTGAACAGCATCAGAATAACTGAGGGAGCTTAGAATGTGAAATTCTGGGTCCTAAAGCCAGGACTGCTGAATAAGAATCACCAAGGAGTGAGTCCTGGGGATCCAAATTTTTCACTAGCTCTCTGGGTGATTCTCTTATACACTGCGTTTGAGAAGCACTGCCCTAGGGCTAGAGGGCGTGTCCGCACCAGGGCAGAGCGGAGTCACATTTTTGTCTCAGTTCAGCTGCTTATTCTTAGGAGATCTTGGAGAATCACTTCACTTCTCCAGGCCTCAGTTTCCTCATATGTAAAATATTCCAGTTGGGCTCTAAGGCCTCTTTCTGTGCTAGTTCTGTAAAGAGGCTAAAATGCAGCTGAAGTGACATTTTATGCACAGCTGGTTAATTCTTAGTGATCCACCTGTGAATTTTCCGTCTCATCATTTTGAGCCCAAGGTTCACTGACCCTTGCTCCCAAGGTGTGCAACGTGGTCACATTCTTTCTGTCGTCAATTGGTTGCTTGTTGAGATAGCATATTAATTCTAGTGATAATCAGAAATCACAATAGGCATCAAAATAGCACTATGAAAGTAAACCTGCTGCAAAACAAATGTCTAATAATTTTCTCTTATAATAGATATGAAAATGATCAAAGTCTTTATTGTCAAGTCTTGGCTGATGGTCTATATGTAGGAGGTCCAAAAATATCAAAATATACATTCCGTGCAATTGGATTTGGTCTCTACATGTATTCTAAAGCTAAATAGTTATGTTTTTTCGAATGTCCTCTATTTTTACTCCTTGTGCAGGTAATAATAATAGTAACAATGTTAATAATAATAACGGTTAATGTTTGTGGAGCGCCCATTATGTGCTATGTTAAGCACATTACGTTTATGTCATTTAAACCTCCTAACAAGTCTAACGAAGTGAGGTAGGTACTGTTCCTATTCCCATTTTAAAATGTTGATAGAAAGGTTATTATTAGGTGACACGTCCCCCTGTGATAATTGGTAACTAAATGCACAGGGCCACATAGCATCAATTTATGGCTTCCTTTCTTTGGCGCCTGCTGAATCTGCCACTGTGCTGTAAGATGTGAATTATCTCACTGCTCAAGACTCCAGATGTAGGAAGATCGTGGTTTGGTTGATGGAGCAGAAATAGCCTGGTTTTATTTCCAGTCCTGCCCTTGACTTTTCTAAAACTTCCTGTGGGAAAATAATTTAATGGCCTTGTGCCACAGTTATCTTGCATAAAATATAATGGAGGTGAGAGTGCTGGGGGGATTTCAGGATTCATTCTCACATGGAAAGTGCTTCTAATTTATGAAATCGAGAAGTAATATGAATACCAAGTATTACTGAAGATTGACAAAGTGTTCCGGAAAAGCTCATGTAGTAGATATTTATATTTCTTAATGCCGTCATTCATCAGTTATTTATGGAGCAAATGCTGTATACACACTCTCCTGAGCAGTATGTTTCGAAACTCTTAATAGGAAGGCCGCAATAGTTGCGTATAATTTCAACCAGTTCATAAAAACTTAGTGTAAAATTAGCATATTTTGTTAAATGGCAAAATATTCAGTGACTGATTATGCAATTTTGTTTTGTAGATCTTGGACAGTCGATATTTTATACAACCACATGTTTGCTGCCCTTTCTCAATGATGATATTCTGAGTACTTTGCCCTACACGATGATATCAACGTTAGCTACCTTCCCTCCATTTCTGCACAAGGATATTATTGAATATCTTAGCACATCTTTTCTACCAATGGCTATCTGTAAGTTCAATTTTACCTAATACTATTTTTTGTATTGTACAAATGGAAATTGCTTTTGCTGTTCTAGGCTGTATATTTTTAAGATTATAATGAAATCGCTTGCTATGTACGTGTGCCGTGATTTAAATTCAGTTGTTTATGCATGAATATTATAGTGAAAATCGAAGACATGGAAGACGATTAGACCTTGGAATTGTTTTATTCACATAGTTTGAGCTTATGGGATAGGAAGAAAGAACATGTCAAAGCACAGTCTATATTTCTTACATATAAGTTATGGTATTTTTTTTTGCCACTTTAGAAAAAAATGGTGGAGAGAATGTTGCCTCAAATGTAGAAATTGTTATCTTTTGCGCTGAAGGCAGTACGGTGTGATGGGAAGAGCAACAGATAGTCAGGATATGTAGATCCAGGCTCAGCTCTGTCCATAATCCACTGTGTGATGTTGGGCAATTCATATAGTTGAAACCTCATCTCGAAGATGATGATAGCATCAGTTTTTTTCTCACAAGCATGTTGTGATAGTAAAATGAGTCAAAATTTATGACAACACTTAAAATAAGCTAAGGCTTGTGACTCATGTGCAAGATGCTGTTATAGACATGGAACTGATTTGAATTCTATTTCACTTTTATAGACTTAATTCTTCAGGCTTTCTAGACATGAGAGCAAAGAGTAAAATAAAGGTCATGTTGGTTTTATAATAAAAATCCTTCTAAAGCATCCTTTTAAAGAAATGGATTTTGTATTAATCTATATTTCAGTGAATAATTGGAAAAGATTATGAGTTTAGGAGTAAGCAGATCTCAATTCAAATCATAACTTTGCTACCAACCAGCTGTGCGACCTTAGGCGAGTTACCTAACCTTTCTGTTTCTTACCTGTAGAATTAGAATAATAATAATAGCTGCCTCATGGGGTTGTTGTGATAACTGAGATGATTAACCTAGAAATTGGTAGGGTGCTTGCACCATGCCCAAAGTGTTAGTTTACTTCTTTTTCCCCCTCAGTTCTTGTTCTGTAAAAATACCTTTATTGGTCACATTCAATTCCTAGTGGTCATTTTTCATCATTTTAATGTTATGTACTTAGGCTCCTATTAAAGTTGTTGCTCTGTAAACATATGTACCTTTGAGCCACATTTACATATTTTACAATCAAGTTTAATTTTAGCTATGGCGTTGATATTTTCATGTCTTTTAACCAAAGAGCCTGACTTCTGTCTAAATTATATAGTGATTCAAAAAAACTAGCAGACTGATTATATTGTTGAAGTAATAGAATATAGATCATTCTCTTTTTTTGTTCTATGTAACCCTACTGACAAGTATTTGTTTATGGATGCAGTCTTAGAATTGTATAGTCATTTTAAAAAATACTATTTTAAAATATATCAACTATTAATATTAAACTTGGGCATAGGAATTCTTTCTTTCTTTTCTTTAAGAATAGCAAGTCACATTGGAGTCCTTACTTATTTAAATATGTGAACCTTGGCAATTGAGAACAAAATAGTAAATTGAGTTTATAACATTTGTGTGAATTTTGGTGCTTATTTGTGGAGTAACTTGGTGTTCATTTAATGGTATGAGCAAGTTGCTTATGTCTTTGGGACTCTTTTTTTTCAACTGTAAAGGAGGGGTTTGGAAAAAATGTTCCATCCCTAAGGTTATTTCCGGCGTTAATAATCTAGGTGAAATAACATCAATCTTTATTTTATGTAAGAGACACATATCTTCCTCTAACCCAGTCGTTGATCTGGTTCACTTATTTTGTTGCTCTGGTTTTAGCTGCTTAGTTCTGACTTTCATTTCTCTTCACCATTCCTGTGGTTCAACAGTAGCCTGTCTTTCTCATCTTTAAATCTTTGGAAATAAATTGTAGTACTAACTTTAAATATTAAATGATTCAGGTGTTTCCTTTGTACTTGTTCCTTCACAGGGTAGATACAGAAATACAGACCCAAGGACAGAGGGGATCGGGTCCCAAATTAATCATGTTAGAGTGAATTGATGTGAGAATGTGTGTCTGTGGTTGCATCTATGCTGTTTTTAGTTTTTGGAAGTTGTTTTAGCATCTAGAAAAAGAGAGGAGTGTTTAACTTCTTCCTGAATATTTTTATTGCAGGACTGAGATGTTAGGATGAAGGATGTTTCATTTTCTGAGTACTTGATAGTCTTTAGAACAAGAAGGCTTTTATCTTTTTGGTACTGTCTTCACAAGTAAAATGTTAAACACGTACAGTTTTTCAGGTGTTAAGTGACTGTATTATTAAGGACCTAGAAGGTGAAGTTCTGAGCTCTGGAGTGAATCTAATGAGGTATTACAGCTCTTTCAGTTTAAGAGGCATGCATGTCTATAAGTTGTGTCCTTCATGCCATTTTTGTCAATAAACCAAGTACTTGCTTGTATTTTAAATAATTCCTTTTGAGGTGCTGGAGAATAAACTGCAATTATTATAAAAATTTCCTTTGACCTAATCTTTTCTTTTTAATTCCTTCCATAAATAAGATATACTTTTTATTCCAAGTTTGTGCAGTAGGCTTTGTTTATTAAAAAGTATTAAAGGAGTTACTAAGAATTGAAAAAGTCATTTGCATGTTACCATGGAAACCTCTCTTTTTCCAATAAAGAATCTGATTTGTGGACCAAATTGAAATATGGATGTTGGGAAGATGATACTTTGGCAGAGAAGAGAAAAAGCTGATACCAAATGAACGTTAATCAATATAGGCTATGTTATTTCAAAGACAATGATAAACCGGAACAATTATATCAGTGAAAGACCCGTCTAATGTATCTTGGTAGCTAGGACTGTACAGTCTCATCTAGTTTCTTTTCTAAGGTAGATTGCCCCCAAAAGTCACTTACCCTCAGGAAAAATAAAGGTTCATTCATATCTTTGCATTTACTTAAAAACAATTGTTTGACTTAATGAAATATCTGGTTTCAGACCACTGGCCCTGGATCGTTCTTTGTTCTATTACTACTACAGAGGATGCGTGTTATATTTCTATGATCTCCAAAATCTAATAAATATGTATATTTAAAAAAGACAGTCAAAACCAAACACAAGATATTAGTGACATTTAAATAATCTTTTATATGTAAAATCTGTTTTATTAGCTAATGATTGTTTTTATAAGGCAAGTCTTACTCTACTCTAAGTTTTATTGTTGAGTCAGGGGAAATGTTTTGGAGTAGGAATCCGGAAGCGCTGAATTGTAGTTCTTTGACTACTGGCAGATCTCTTAACCTCATCGAACTTTAGTTTTCTTAGCTGTAAAATTATGAATAATCATAACCTCCCCTGTCTACATCCTATGTTTGTTGTGAAGACCATGAGGTAACATATAGGAATGGCCTTTGAATATTATATCATGTTGTATGAGTATATGCATATCTATGACTCATAGAGCTGTACAAGATAGTATATTAGGAACTATAAAATGCAGGAACAGATTAAGGAATTGTTATTGTTCATAGAGGGAGGGTATGGTGGTGATGGTTGTTCTGACAGTGCTGAGAGAATCAGGAAAGAGGTCTTAGAACTTTTCATGTTTCCTGAGCACACTATGAAGTGTAAAATATTCTTACTTTTATTAATTCTCCTCTTCCTTCCATTGTGTGTAGATTTGGCTTTGTGTACCCTCATCGGGACAAGCTGCACATCTGTATACATCATGCTTTTTAACAAGACTCAATAAATGATGTGTGCCTGTGCATGTTTATTAAATTAGAATTGTGGTGATTTTATTCAGTCTGTTAGGGGGCTAAGAAATTGCAAGGCATCGTCTGTTTATGGAAGTATTGGAGCCAATTTCCTAGGGCTGGAGCCAAGGGAGTGCTTTTGGCGTTGTGGCTGACCATCCTTGAGGGAGAGCATGGATCTGTAAGGCTGGAGGGGACATCCAAAGGTCACTGAACCATTTGGGCCGGTCTCCAAATAGACTTCACCTAAATCATCCGAGACACTGGGCATCTCTCCCATTTTTAAAGGCCTCCAGGCACAGTGATTCTCAGCCTCCTTTCATAGTGGTTTTCATTTTTCATAAACGCTTATTATTAAAAGTTTGGGATTAATTTAAACAAAGGTGAAAACACTTGTCCCAAAAGAATGGATACACACACACACACACACACACACACACACACACACACACACAAAAACACACACACGGTGCCAAAAAATATATATACACATTTTAAGAAAGAAAAAAAACTATTAAAATTGTCATACTCAATGTATACCCATAACGGAAGATGAATACAAGTCCCATTTGACTTCTGCAATTACAAAAGGTGCTCAAAGTGGTTACCATCAGCATCCAGATACTTCTGATGATGGTGAACTACTGCTTGAGCAACGTTGACCAGTGCCCACTTGTTTACATTTTTTTGGCACCCATATTTATTATTATTTTTGCTTGGCTATTTTGGAGCCTAGACTTTCTTTTTCGTTCTTAAACAAAGATGCACTAGGGGCCTGCAATTATTCCTCCCAGACACCTTACTGAGTGGTTCCTGTCATTTCTTACCTCTCTAGTAGTACTTCTCAAATGGAGGTCCAAGGTCTGTTTGCATCCGAATCACTTGGTATGCTTATTAAATATGGAACTTTCTTATTTCCAAGCTGAGTTAGACTCTGGGCATGGGTCCCCAAAAGCTGAATTTGAACGAGATGCCTGGCTCAAGTCTGAGAGCAACTGTCTCTTCTTGTTCTTTAGGATTTGGCTCAAAGTTCATTTTCCTCGATTAATCATATTTGATTAATTAACTTTACTATCTAAGAGGAATGAACTGACCTCCACATCTTGTATAATTGTTATTACTTATTTGTATTGTTTAGCCAGACTAATTTATCTACCTGGCTATTGCCTGCTTGGTGGGTTACCAGCAGCCCAGCTGCCAAGTGATAGATAAAAGCAAATGGAACCCGTTTTATTGGTTTATTTCTATAAAGCTTTTGTGAATGCCACCAGCCATTGTAGTACTCAAAGTCCTTTATGAAAAAAAAAAAAAACGTTAAAATTTTTTTTTGTCTTTTGTATTATATGACAAATCTTTTATTAGTTTTTTAATGGTTCTTTTATACGTGTGTTTTATTTTAAGTTGCCTTATTGTTTTTGGATGTAGGTGAGGCATTATTCCCACGTATTGCACTGTAATATAGAATAAAATAAAATAAAGCAGGTTTTAGAGTTCTCTGCCTTTTTTGTTGTTGCACACGTGAATGGTCTTGTCCAGTATGTGCAGAAACTCAAGAGGTGACTTTCTGAGGGTGTTATACTCACTGTATACTGTTCTGTTCATGCCTTCTTGACAATTTGCCACACAAGCCCAAATATAAGGAGAGGTTTCTCCTCCTTCTATTGTACAATTACCGCTGAGAAAAGGAATTCATTTTATATTAGAGTCCTTGTAATGTTTCTTCTTTTGTGGGCCCTGTCTCAATAACTGTGTTTTGAATAATAAAGTACTTCGGAGACAACATATTACCCTGAGTGACTTCCATCAGTGCAAGTTTTGAATGCTTATTGGGGCTACCTGACACATTCTATTGAAAAAGAGAAGGAAATGTAATACAGAGTTGGATATCATTATAAACAAGCCACTTAAAGATGTCTTAAGTAGTTATCATCTGGAGACCATGATTATACAGCTATAAGATAAATTTTGAAGAAACCAACTTGCTTTGCGATTGAATACTTGTGGCAGAGGATACAATGTTCAGCAACAGTGTTATTCACGGATTCCAGAAGTGCTTTATTTAAAACAACTCAGATCTGAAGATGGTAAGCTCTGGAAAACTGAAAAAGTGGCTCTCATGGTGATGAAGATACTAATGATGAAGTTACATGTGAAGATTTAAAGAAAATTGTTTAATGATATGTGAGAGTTGGAAATAACTTTTAAACTTATATACTATTTTTTTTTTATAATACACGATTTAAAATTTGTATATTTAACTAAATAAGGTACCCGTTATAGGTAGACTGTTTCATCTGCATCTCTAAAAGTTAATACATTCAAGTTGAGTTAAAGAAACCTTTTCTTATTACTTTCTTATTGGGATAAACTTCAATATGCTTTTATATTTGGGTACATGGAGAATTCTTTTTTTTTTCCTTTCTTTTCCACTTGGATATAAAAATCTTGGGAGCAGAGGTCACATCTAACCATAGCTCTGCTAAAGCCATTACATCACATTCTGGCACTGTTCCTGCTCTTTGTCGCTTCTCACTAAATGCTGGCTACTGATGATAACTGTAGCATTTGTACGTGAAGGCAAGCTTTGTGGTTTTATTTGTGCAAAACGTCCATTGATTTGGTTGGGACTTTTAAAAAAAAGTTTCTCTTCACCTCTCATGGTCTTTGCAAAGTAGCAAGTATATATAAAGAGATAAATTGTGTCTAATCAAAAATATTTTGGTTTCAGTGGGTTCCTCAAGGAGAGAAGGCGTTCCTGCCCATGTTAATCTCTCTGCATCATCCATGCTAATGATTGCAATGCAGTACACATCCAACCCCGGTAAGTAGAAATTTGGGTGGCTTGACTAATTCCAAACCCAATGATGAAACAAGATATCAAACAAGCAGCCTAGAAATTCTCACGTAGGAAGAACTTCTCTTGGAGATGTGTTAGAATATGAACTTTCGAGTTGAAATAAATTTCCTTTGCTATTATCACTTGCAGGCTAGTGAAATTTTCAGAATGTTTGAGGACACAATTTTAGAACGTTGACTGAAAATTGATTTGATATAAGTATATAGGAAGAGTTAAATTAGAAATATAAAAATCACCTGCAATTCTAATAATTGAAGATAACCACTGTTAATATTTTGTGAACTTGCTACTCTAATGCCACATAAGTATCCGTGAACACAAATCTTTCACTACATTTCTGATGATTTCCTTAGAATAAATTCATAAAAGAGGGATTAATGAGTTAAAGGGCAAAAAAATTTCAATAGTCTCACTATATATGAAAGTACACTTAACCTGTCATTGAGTATTATTATAAAATGTGTATAGAGTTGGACAGATGAAAAATAATATCTCATTGTTTTGATTTGTATGTCTTCAATTACTAGTGATGTTGGACAGGTTTCATATGATTTACTCTGGTTTCCATTCATCAGTATAATTGCAGATGAACTTTGGGAAACTGACCTAAAAAAGGGCTGGCTGACTGTCATATGCTAAGATATGACTCAGTTTTTATTTTTATTTAATGTTTATTTGGCAAGTGAACAAATTTGGTGGCACTGTTTTCAACCTTCTATTTAATTACATAATAAATAATAATTAAGGATAAAAAAACATTTTTAATTTTAAAACCTTAATGCTTCTTAGTTTGGAGTGTCACCCTGTAAATATGAAATTCCTTATGATTATTATATGAGGTTAATTAAAATGTGTATATTTTGGAAGGTCTATCTCATATCTCACTCTGTCTGGCTTAACGTATCCTCAAAATATCATTTATATTTATTATACATTATGTTCTGGAAAAAATCCTTCATTTGGAATCTAGTTCATTGAAGTCTGATCATGAGGCTTTGACCCTGATTTCTATATTGGGAGGCAGTAGAGCAGTATGGGTAAAGTCATGTGATTTGAAGTTAGATGTATGTGGGTTCGCATCTGAGCTCACCTGCAAATTGCCAGTTAGTGTAACATTGAGCAAGCTTTTTAACCTCCCTAAGACCAAGTTTTCTCATCTAAAAATGAGAATAATTCTCCCGGAAGTGACTTCAAATATTGTGAGGATTTAATGAGTTAAACATATGTAAAGTGCTTACTTAGCATAGTGAAGGATGCATTGTAAAATGTTCAATAAATAGCAACGTGGATCACTACAATCTGCCATTTTCTTCTTGGAGTTGAATATTTCACAGGGAAACCACTGTGATCAGATAGTGTCACTTCTGTTATTTCTAAATCTGTATTTTCATCTGTTCATGGGGGAATGTTTATAGCCAGACATTCTATAGTAAGAATTTCATTTGGGACCCAAAACTAGTCTTGTGATGTGGAAAAGTATTAAGAAGTGAGGTGATATCCACCAGAAAGCATTCTGGGACCAAGTGGTAGGGTATCATTCTATTGTTAGAACTTTTATTGAGGGGGCAGCAAGAGGCATCTTGGTCCTTAGTGTCTTTGTGTATTAAGGATTGAGTGTGGACCTTGTTCAACCAACAGGCATTCGTCTAGTAATTCCTATGTACACGGTTCTGTGCTAGGCATTGGGAAAACCATCAGAAATGGAAGATATCGTACTTGCTATGGAGCTTGTGTCTAATTGGGAATCAGGCATATTCAATAAATGATTAATTTACAATGTAAAGTAGTATGTGAAAAATACAAAATAAATACTATAGATAGTATTAATTCATCAGAAGGAGAGGTTTCTGTGAAATGATCAGGAAAGGCTATGCCACTTGAGCAAAGTATGGGTCTTAAAATATAGATAAAGTTTTAATTGATGAGTGGGGCCTCCTGGGAAGGGAATTGGTTTAAACAAAGGGGCTCTCCAGTTTTTTCACCGGGCAGTCTGTGAACTGCTCTGACCCAGGTTCATGTGGCAGACACATGGAGAACAACATGCTGTGTAAGGAAAGTGGACTGAAATAGCTGCACTGGAGAACTCAGTGATGGCTTAAGAACAAAATTCCAATTCTAGAGGGCCATTTATACATTCAGTAGTCGGTGAATACCTACTATATGCCAGACACTGGGGACACCATGGTTAGCAAAACAGAAATGATCACTGCCCTCACCTCATGAAGGGGCGAGAAGACAATCAAGTAATTATAAAAGCAAATGTAAAGCTTCAACTACGGCAAGTGCTTGAATAAAGGGAGATTTTGCTTTTATGGAAGAGGTCAGGGAGGGCTTCTCTGGGGAGATACTTTTTGGTGTGAGGGCTGAAAGATGAGTAGCATTAACAAGGCCTACAAGGGGTGGGGGCTTCAGGAGAAGAATCTCAGGTGTCAGAAGGGAGCCTGGCCAGCAGGTGGGACTGAAAGCTCCGTGTAGCCTTGTGTGAGATGGAGCTACAGAATTCTGGGGGCCAGAACCTGCTGGATGTTGTGGGCTCTCTTTGGGCGTCCTGTGTTTATCCCAAGTCTGGGATATCCCAGTGGGAAGGCCCTGAAGGACTTTTGAGTGGTTATGTGTGTCATCCTGGTTGTAGGAGCCAGGGTCGATATAGATCGACCTATGAGGAGGCCATTGCATTTTCTAGGCATGTAAAAGGCAGGGGCAATTGACACTGAGAAAAGTGGATACACCTGAGAGAGACTAGAAAGTAAAATTGAGAGGATTTCGGGACATATTGGATATGGTAGGTTTTTAGTCTCAGAACTAGATGCTTGGTGGTGGTTCTCTTCACTGAGAAAGGACACGCTGGAAGACAAAGACCAGGCTTCTGAGGGAAGGTCATGAAATCTGTTTTGGACATATTGTGTTCCAGGTGTTTTTGAGATATTTAAGAGGAATGGTACACCTTGGCCTAATATATTGTTGTATGGCAATTATATCCCAATAAAACTGGAAAAAACCCTCCATATATAACTCCAGTAATAATTCCATATGTCCAAAACACAAAATTTAAATAAATCAGCTTACTTAAAAAAATAGGCAATGATAATTAGGAAGTTGTATTATGTGTCTGGAACTCAGACTAGGGCTGTGTTAGAAGTAATGAACTTTAAGCCTATATGTAAGTGCCCAGTGTCCAACTCATCGAATTGCATATAGCTAGTAACTGAGGCTCTGTATGAGTGTGACATTGCTTACAAGAGAGCATAGAATGAAAAGTGGAGTGGGTTTATGACCAGGCCTTCAGGAACTCTGGAAGGTAATGGCCCAGTGGAATTATAAGCTTGCCAAGCAGACAGAGAGATTGTATCTGTTAGGATGTGTTTCACTGACTAACAGAGGCTTTAAACTACAAGAACGTTTGTGGTTTACTTGGTAGAACATCTTGGAGATAGCTCTGTAGTATCAGGGGGCTGAGATGGCATCTTTGTGTTTCCCTTGAACTTGTCCTCATGTTTGCAAGCTGGCTTCCACAGCGGAGGTTATTATATTCTTACAAAACCACATTCACAGTTAGTAGGACCAGTCAGGGTAATGATAGCATGGTCTCCTGGTGTGCCTCTTTCTTTTCATCAGAGAGAAAAGGAAAAAAAATATATATATATCTCACAAGCTCTCTAAGCAGATTCTCTCTTAGGTCCTTCTGGCCAGAACTGAGCCCCATGCCTATCCCTAGCTGAAGGTAGAAAGGGTTGTTGATAGCAGTTGAATAGAAACAACAGTGTCTGTCACAGGTACTAGGAGAGGGTCAGTTGTGACATCAAGGGAAGAGAGGGTTATAAAGAGCAAAAGTGGTCAGCGGCACTGAATGCTGCTGAAGGTCAAGTAAGAGGCAGGCTGAAAAATGTCCATTGAACCGAATGACAAGGAGGTCACTGGGGACTAAGGTGAGACCTGCTTCCGTGCCATGGGAGGGTTGGAAAATAGATTAGGGAAGGTATAAAACAACTATCTAACTAGGGTCAAAGTAAGCACAGGCAATCAAAGAAGATTGCTGTTGTATAGCTTTTAACAATCCCTCAACAGATGGAATTGGCGAGCAAATGATGAGACTCCCATTCTAATCTATCAGTCTGTCACTCGCTATCTGTCCAGATTTGGGCAAGACTGGAAACGAAATCTCAGCTTCCTAACTGCAACATGGTGGTTATAAGACAATACATATAAAGCTCTTAGCACAATACCTGGCATAATGAAGTTCAATACCTGTGAGCTTTTATGATGATACTATTAGGCTATTTTTCCCTATGTATTTCTTGATTACATTGGTGTAAGTCTATGATTACTAGGGATTTTTCCTAATGTTTCCTTTGTTGATAAGATGAATGAAATATACTTCTCAAGGATTTGGTATAAAGCTTGATAAAGTCAAGGGCTTATATGATTTTTGAAAAGCATGACTATCAGAATGAAAAGTCCTAATATAGTTTTATTATATCTCAAAGTATGTATTTACATTTCATGTTCAAATTACATTTTCTTCCTTACAGTTTATCATTGTCAATTATTGGAATGCCTCATGAAATATAAACAAGAAGTCTGGAAAGTAAGTTTTGGTCCACATTTAAGCCATTGCGACAAACTTAATTTATAAATACGGTAAAAATTGTTTTCATGTTAAAAGTATGTTTAGGTTAAATTTATGGATGTCTTATTATTTTGGTGTGGCAGAGCCTACAATTCTTCTCTTACTGGTTAATTGTTTGCCGTTTAGAGCAGGAATGATTTTGAAGAACACAGTGGCTTGATAGAAAGAGTAATTGTATATCTCTTATTCTTGGAATTTAGCAAATACTATATTATGTGACAGTTTTATTTAATTTGAAAGGTTGCTCGAGAACCTGTCTTCTTTCAAATAGTAGACATGAATTGTTAAGAAATGTGTTTTAGGAAACTATATTTAGAAATGCAGTGTTTGGCGAACTGGTTTATGCTGTTCTAAAACCTGTCTTTAAGAAGAATTTGTTAAGAGGTAGTGTCCTTTTGAACTCTACCTTGCGGGGGCTTATTTACAGAACCAATAAGTAAATAATAAAAAATAATCTTTTAATGTGATCTAATCTGAGAAGCATCCCTGGATGATGAGGTTCCAGGGGGAATTAACCACCTCTACCCCTCCACTGAAATTGAATGAGCTCCCTTTATTTTTATTAGATCATGCTAAGTCGAGATATTCTTCCCGTTTCCTTTAGGATCTTTTGTACGTGATAGCCTATGGGCCTTCACAAGTGAAACCTCCAGCTGTGCAAATGCTGTTTCATTACTGGCCCAATTTAAAACCTCCTGGGGCGATAAGCGAATACAGGGGCTTGCAGTACACAGGTAAGAAGAGAATAGCCCCGTGATGCCCCATCTTTATTTCTCCTAGGCCACATTTGGCTCACCTACTTATACGTTATTTTATTGTGCTGGATTACATTTCTGTGCCTTTAGACATTGTTCTAAGTCCTTTTTGAAACTAGGTGGTACAAAAGAAATTAATTAAAATTAATTTCGAAAGCGTTTATGACACCGTAGCCAATTGCCTAATAAGTCTCAGCCTCATTTGCTCCACACCTGGCCAGCAGTCTTAACTTCTGCTCCCTGTGCTGATCATTGGGAAGGTGTAAGCGGTGAGTAATGCTGCAGGTTTGCTCACCATGTGGCAAGACCCCAAGTGGCTAATTCTGTTCTGATAAGAAGACTTGGAGCATGCTCAACATTACCAGTTTATGCACTAAATAAAAATTAAATGACCCCAATAGCCCAATTGGACAGGAAGAGTCAACAATTGCTGAATGTTGGTATAATTTCTAACTGAGAAGTAAACACTGGATTTAAACGTAAAGTATATATTTACCCAAAACTAAATCAACCCCAGGTCCTATGCTGTGGCTTATGTTTAAATATTATAAAATCAAAGAAGCCACCTATGGCTAATGGAGTTTCTGATGCCTCTGACGTCCTCTCCCCCCACTTAATTATATACATAGTTTATAAAAATGGAAGGGGTGGGTATTTTGGCAAAGCTAGCTTTTATGCAAGTTATGGCGGGATTGTATACTGATGTTCAAGAGCCTATTCTTTCTTGGCATCACTCATCTTTCCTAAGGTTATTTGAGGTGGTTTAAAGGGGATTTAACTTAATTCAGGTGTCTGATATATGTTCCTGTTTAAAGCCAAGTGTTACACTTATTAATACCTGCTTTTGGGGCTTTGATGGTCCTTGATGCGCTTATTCTAACCTCAGAACAAATAACTTTGTCCTTAGTGGTAAGGATAATATTAAGTTAAAACAGTGAAGATAATAACTTTTAAAAACTGGAAATTGGTATCATCAATAGTAGACAATGTTTAAGTGTGGCTAAGTAGATGCTTTGCATGTAACAGCAAAAAAAGTTGGACGCATCAATAAAATAAAAGATGAAACGACTGAAATATTTGAAACCAACCCCTTCTCAACAGATCCCTGAGCTAAGCATTTATTTTACATGATGTATGAGTGGGTAACCAGTGTTAAATGAAATTTACTTGGTAAATATTGGAAAAGTAACTCATGTGCCAGGCACAGTACTTTTTGTTGATGATACAAGAGCTGACACAAAACCAGACCTTGTGGAGCTTAATACAATCTAGATATGAAAATTCATTCACTTATTCAACAAATATTTGTAGGGTGTCTACTACTAGCCAGGCATTATTCTAGGCACCGGTGGTAATGCGATGAAAAACAGAAACTAAAATCACTAATATCTTGGTGTGTACATTCCATTTGTGGAGGAAAGATCAGGAAACCACCTTGCAGTGTAATAAGTGCTCTGGTGGAGCAAATACAGTTGAACCTTGAACAACACAGGGGTGAGGTTTGCCAGCTCCCCTTCCCTGCACAGTAAAAAATCCTAGTATAACTTTAGACTCCCCAAAAACTTACCTACTGATAGGCTACTATTGACCGGAGCCTGATAGATTAAGCAGCCAATTAACACATATTTTGTATGCTGTATGTATTATATGCTGTATTCTTATAATAAAGAAAACCAGAGAAAAGAAAATATTAAGAAAATCAAAAAGAAGAGAAAATACATTTACAGGGTTTACTGAAAAAAATCTGCTTATGAGTGGACCCGCGCAGCTTAAACTGGGCTGTCCAGGGTCAACTGGGCAGAGAGCTGTAGGAACACGCAGGATGGGGCTCTGACCTCACCCTGATGGTGGGCAAGTTTGAAGAGGGTTGAGTTTGTCAAGGAAGGTTCTTCAGTGAGTGACATGTAAGCCAACACCTGGAAGAGATGCACACACTATAAACGTCATAAGGGGAGTGAATCATGAGTGGATAAAATGTGAGTTTGAAGCAGAATGAACTGCAAGGGTTCAGACTTGGAGACTAAAGATAGCACGATTGTATTTGGGAACTGGAAAATGTCATAAGTATCCAGACAGTGGGGACAGTAGGAGAGTAGGCAGGGGCAAGCAGGAAGTCTGGCAAGGCCTGTGCAGTGGTTTGGATTTCATCCTAATGGCAAGGGAAGCCACAGACAGTGAAGAAGCCCCACGATGAGATTTGACTGTTTTAGAGCATCCCAGAAACCTGGGAAACCGAGAGCTGCTTCATTTCCCCCTGTGACCACTCTTTCAGAAGGGCCAGTAAAATCTGACTCCCCGAAACACCTCAGCTTGTCCCAACTAAGATCCAAGCGGCTCTTCTTCTCTTGGCCTGTCTGAACAAGACGTCTCTGTCTACAGGCATCCGTTTCTATATTCTATCTGAACTATGGGACAAAAGATATGGGGACGATATACATTCCTGAGGCAGAGACTGTTGCAAATGTAGATGGGGAATAACTAACTCAATAGCTAGCTTTGGTTTAGGCTACCACATTAGTAGAATTGGGTTCTTGAGTTTTATACAAGTACAAGAGTTCTCCTAGTTCTTTTATGTCATAACTTCCCCATCATTGATTCTTATTTATCTTTTTATTACCTTGGTTTTTGTCTCCACAAATTAAAAAAAATGTTTTAGTTCTTTTTAATTGGTGCATTATACACATGTAGGAAAACACATGAATTATAAGTGTACGTGGAACCCCTCCCACTGTGTTTGCCGCCATGATCACCTCCTTTAGCTATCCCAAAGGTAACCACTAACCTGACTTCCAACATCAGAGATCAATTCGCCTATTTTTGAATTTTACATAAATGGAATCATACATTATTTGTGTGTGTGTGTGTGTGTGTGTGTGTGTGTGTGTGTGTGTGTAAATTGTTCATGGGTTAAGCATAATTTATATGAATATACCACAATTTATGTATCCATTGTACTATTAATGGATATTTGGGTTGTTCCCACTTTTTGGTGATTACAAGTAATGCTGCTATGAACATCCTTTTACATATATTTTGGTGCACATGTGCGTACATTTCTGTAAGATATATGCTTACAGTGGGATTGCTGGATTAGAGGCTGTGCATATATCCAGTTTTAATGGATAATGGCAAACAGTTTTCCAAAAGGGTTGTACTAATTTGTACTCCCATTAGAAGTATATGAGAGTTCTTTTTGTTTATATTCCACATTTTTGGCAATACAGTAATGCCTTGGTTTGTGAGCATAATTAGTTCTGGAAATAAACTACACGTATTGCAAAACATCGCTCATTTACCACATTAAAATGTATTAGAAATGTTTGCTCATCTTGCAAAACACTCACAAACCAAGTTACTCGCAATCCAAGGTTTTACTGTACTTTATTTTATTTGTTTTCAAAATTTTAGCCATTTTAGAGGGTATGTAAAATATCTTATTGTGGTTATAATTTGCATTAACCTGATTACTAATGCATGCTTTTAAAATATATTTATTGGCCATTTGGATATCCATATAATCTTTGTTAGTTATATACGTTGAAAAAAAAATATATTTTTTACTCTCTTAATGATGACTTTTGATTAACTGACATTTTTTATTTTACTGTGATCAAATTATTAATCTTTTTGGTTATATAAAGTGCTGTTTATATCCTAGCTAAGAAAATCTTTTCCTACTCCAAAATTATGACAATATTCTTTGTTGTTGTCCAGAATGTTTTTACCTTTTACATTTAGATGTATCTGGAATTAATTTTTCTGTATGGAGTGAGGTAAGGGTCAATTTATTTTTTTCTTTAGGATAGCCAATTGACTCAACATCATTTTTAAATTTTTTTTTAAAGATTTTTATTGGGGAATTGGGGGGATGGGAACAGTGCTGGGGAATTGGGGGAAGGGGAACAGACAAGTTGCTGTCGTTTTGTTCTTNCCCAGCTCCAGGTTGAGCTGTTGTTCAGCATCTTAGCTGTGGAGGGCAGTGTCACTGGCCCTCATATGTGGGATCCGAACCGGGGCCTGCTGGCATTCCAAGCCAGCTCTTAACCAACGCGCCACTCAGCCGGCCATCACACACTTTATTTTTATATTCTTATATTTCATGTGTGTCTTGTAAGCAGTATATCATTGTCCTTTTAAAACTCATTTTCAGGATATTTGTCTTTTAATAGTCCATTTATATGTAATGTAATTACTGGTATGTTTGATTTTAAGTCTATTTTTCTATTTGCTTTCTATTTCTCCTGTCTTTTCTGTGGAACCTTTCCCCCTCTTTTGCACTGATTAAGTGTATTTAAATATTTCATCTTAGTGAGTTATTCAGTCTTCTGTATTCTTTAATCATTAGCTTAGGGTTTGTACCATACATTTTTTTTTTTTAAAGATTTTATTGGGGAATTGGGGGAGGGGAACAGACAAGTTGCTGTCTTTTTGCTCTTCAGTCTAGTTGTGGAGGACGTTGCTTCACTGGCCCAAGTTGGCACCATCATTGCGCTCCTTCTGGGCTCAGCAGATCAGTCGCTGGCTTCTGGATGGCTGCTCATGGTGGCTTGAGGGCTGCTCATGCTGGCTGCTGGCTACACATGGTAGCCCATGGCAACCCGCTGCAGCAGGGGCTGCAGCCTACCTGTCACTGGCGACTCATGGCAGCCCAGCTCCAGGTTGAGCTGTTGTTCAGCGTCTTTGCTGTGGAGGGCAGTGTCACTGGCCCTCATATGTGGGATCCAAACTAGGGCCCTCAGGCGTCCCAAGCCAGTTCTTAACCAACGCGCCAGTTGGCCGGCCCATCCAATTTTCCATGTATTCTTTCTTTTTTTTCTCCCTTTCAGATTTTTTTCTTTTCTTTTGTTTTTTTAAATTAGTTTCAGGTGTACAACATAGTGCAGTAGTTATACTTTTTACCCCTCAAAGTGACAACCCCTCTCCCCCAATTCACCGCCTCATTCTCCCTCCCCCTCCGATATCATACCTATTGTCTATTT